GTTTCGTTTTTCAACAATCATTACGTAGGTTGGATGCTGTCCACTTTTGGATGTGGTGAGTCGGGCGAAAAGGATTGCGTTCGTTTCACAGACCCTTGAGCTGGCACAACGCACCACTGTGGTTGGGGACGCGCGAAACAGTGTAAGCGTTTGAGGCGTGCGTAGTGCACACTTCACCTCACTCCGTGCGTTGCTGCTTTGCACCTTTCCGGATGTTTTGGTGTGCGCGTTTGTGTTTGTGATGGCCTTGGAGGGGACACCTACGACTACCACCACTGATCTGTTCGTGCAAAGCTGACTTTTCCAGTTCGCTTCAGGTTTTCCATTCCGTCATAAGTGAGATTGTCAATGCTAAAGCACCGGCTGAGTGACCAAAATTACCTCCCCCCCCAATCAAACAATTTCCATTGCGTACTACCCTTCTCTTTGGTTTTTGTCGGACCAACAGCTGAATAATTGTTCTCCGTGTATTTATATTGCGCTGCCTTGACGTCTTCGTCCGTGACTTTTTTTTGTTATCAAGGTGCTTAGTTCGTGATCTCACAGGTGACATGTTTAGTAGACGGGTGTGTTGGTTCGGATTTTTCCGAATTGCACTGCCTTGTACACCGACCTGATGTATTTAAGATTCAATCATCAAGACGGCGGAACAACTGCCGGTCGTTTTAGAAATGAGTGTCTGGACGCACTAATACGTCATTTCGGTCGGCTATGCTAAGAACTGTCGTGGCGAATTGAAATCCTACCTTAATTTGCAGCTATTTTTTGCTTTAATTTTAGGATGACGACTTGAACCAGGAGAATAATCCTATTCTTAAGCGGCAAGTTGAGACCATCCGTAACCTCGTTCAGTCCTACATGAAAATTGTCAGCAAAACTCAACTCGATCTTGTGCCCAAGATCACGATGCATCTTCTCATTGACGATGTAAGCACTGGTTGAGTTTATTTTTTTTCCCCTAAAGCTGGTGCTCAGCAGGACACTAACCCCGTGCTTATGCTGTTCTGCATTTGCGATGCCACCTTAAGGACACGGGGGATTTTCGCCTCGTTTGTGAGCATCCGTGTTGTCACTCCCTGTTGTCCCACGCAGTCACCCGCCACGTCGCGTCCTTCGCATTATGTCTCTTCTCCATTTCAGGTGAAGAATTTCATGAAGACTGACCTCCTTCCAACTCTGTATGCGCTAGATACGGTAAGATTGAGCTGTGATTGAGGCTTGTTGGTGCAGTCATCAAACCCGGGGACCCTCTAGTGCTGTTTGTCAAATCAGCATTATCGAATATCCTCACTTGACTGGTACTTTATCAACCTGTTGACACACACACACACACATCAGTTCATACTATTCAGGGTGGTAGGTGATTGGTTGTTCCAGTCTGCACTGTGTTATCTAGATTCACTGCGGGCTTGGAGATGCGTGGGAAAAATTCGTCGTATCTACGACAATGGAGTGGGGGGGGGATGGGAACTTGGTTCGCCATGCTCTCGTGTGCTTCCACGACATTAGCGTGTTTGGGGATGCTTTTTGTGTTGTGCCACGTCGCTCAGCATTTCCCCGTGGTCGTTTCTTCGATCTAGAGCCGTTTGATGGAGGAGTCGCAGGAGGAGAAACGACGGAAGCAAGACATGGTGACGATGTACAACACCATGAAGGAGGCCCTCAACATCATAGCCGACGTCACCACCCACACGGTGACTACTCCTGTGCCGCCGCCTATCACCAATGACTGGAGGGAGTCAGTGAGTTGCCCGCGCTTGTTTTAATTTGCTAGCCCCAACTACGGCTCACGGCTCAGTAGGTTTTGGTCTTCTAATCTCGTCTAACCAAGTGGCTTGTGCTGTGCTCTGATTGGGTCGCGTAGACAAAGGCGTCAACTATGTACTTTAGTGGTCGTGTGAACTAGTCGTAGTTTTTTTAAGGTGAACAAGTTAAAAACAGCATACATTATCGTATTCTAACCTCATTCTGTACTACATTTCCATTGAAATGTCGTTTTTTACCTTGGCGAGAACTCTTGCATTCTAGGAGTTTGGAAAGAGTGCCAATTTGTATGGCCATTCCTCTCATGATCCAAACGTCCCGAGGCACAAAGATGTCAGGAATGCTTGGTTGTAAACACGCGCTACAATTTGAGTATTTGAGGGAACCTTGAAATTTTTAACTGACCGAATGAGCAATTCACTTGTTATTCACATCCTTCAAAGTCTGGGGTCTGGTTTTCTGTGCTGATTCGGCGAACATCTGAAAATTTCCGTCAATTAATCCTCCTGTTTAGTGGATGGTCAATTAACTGAGTCGCATGGAGATCCTAATTTCTTCTGCCATTCATGATTTCGGAGTGTGCTTCACGTGGATTTGCGAAGCTCTGATGCCTTCGACAAGGCGAAAGAACTTAATTGCAGATTGTGGAGCCTATTGCTTGGTTGTTTTCAACATTTTGCACAGGACGCAGCTGGCGGTGGGTCTCCGCGCACAAGCAACAGCGGCCCCTCTCGGCCCAATATCGTGCCCAATCGAAACAGTCCTTCCCTCCCTGCAATGGGACCCGGGGGAGGCCACCTTGCTCCGCAGGCACGCAATGCGCCCCCTGCTCCCCCGCCGTCTCGTCCCTCCAACTCCTCTGCCCCGCCTCCGCCTCTCGTGCCAGCGTGAGTGCCCATTCCAAGTTTTGGCCTTCCACATAAAACCTCTTGCGGTGTGGGGTGGTGTTTTTGTGGCCGAGGTTAATCCTTGTGAGCCATTTCAGACTGCGTTCAAATCCGCTCTTGCGTGGTCAATCAGCACTGACGTGGCAGGCGTCCACCCTGGCGATTTGTATTTTCTGCAAGCAACGCAAAGTTGTTTACGTCGTGGGTCGTTATCGTTCTCACATGTCCCAAGACACTGTTAACAGTGCCTTGAAAGGGCCTTAAATTGATATTACAATGATTGTTGTTCTTGACTAGTAAATGTCCCCGCTCTTTTTGCGTGTTCTAAGGTCGGTGAAAATTTGTGTTGGCGGGTGAAACGTCGCCTCGCCAGGCGTAGCAATAATCTGTCTCAGCGTTGCATAAATATAGGCCATTCACGCCTGACGCAGCACATGTCTTGGTCTGCGTTGCCAACCCCCAATGTCTAACAACACGAACTCCCACGACGAACGCGTTTCTGGACTGATGGATTGTCGCCGACACGCACACTGCGATGGCGTCCATTAAGAGCCAATGACAGTTTACGCTGATCGTATTCCAGCGGTGGCGCACAGTCCTTTCGCCATTTTGTGTTTTTAAGCCAGTTGGATTGCGGTCACACCTTAGCCACTTTTCCAAGTGTGTTCCGTCTTTGTGCCCAGGTCACCTTATGCCCATGTTTACCCTAAGTAAGTCCACTCCAAGCTGTAGCAGATTGGCATTAATTAAATAACGGGCTTGGTCCTAACTGGCTTACTAACCTTACTCCTTATGTGTATATTAACTGCCACGGTAGGTCCCTCGACGCTGTTGACAGGTATACTCGTTTTCTGCCTCACCGCCTAACTCGTAGCCGTAGTTTGATTGTTAACTAACAATGGCTGATTTTGCTTTTGTCGCCTTTGCTCACAAGCCGCCTCACAAACAAAAATGAAGGCTCCGAGCCGTGTCAGTAACACCACTAGTTCACGCCCAGACAAGGAAGTGTAAGCAGTCGGATCACAAGCCACGCTTTCTCGAACACCACTTTTCGAAGCTCAATATGTCAGCTTATTCAACAGTATATCTCCATCGCCTCCTTTGTTCTCAGCGCGATTAGACCTGTCGTTTGTAGAGCCATGCGTCAGCACCGTATTGATTTTCTCGACTAGTCGCTAACCGATCACCCTGTCTTTTATTATCACCCCTCCATCTCCCACCGCGCACTATTCCCTCCTCTCCGCCCGGCAAACTTGATTGCACTGCCAGTCGCACAGCCCCCCTAATTCCCCAACCCGCGGTGCACCCCAGTAATTCAGCTGGTGATCTGTTTGCTCCTCTAAGCAGTAATAGCAAAACCACAGCAAACGCATCTTCAACACCTACCGTCTCTTGGAACAGCAATCCCACCCTCAAAATGTTTGATCCCATCGCCTCGTCGACGTCAGCATCGACCGCCACTAACAACGGAGCTGCCTCTGCTTCTGCTGGTTTATCGACAAGGGCACTTGCGTCCCTGTTTGAGTAAGCGCGCAAGTCTCCTAGTTGTTCTCCGGTTGAATGTCTTGCTTTTGGCCGGCGATTATTAGGCCAGGGGAGTGCCATCGAGGGCCTCTAATCCGGGACACAGATTTCCGCGCCGCGTGCATGGCGCAAGTAGGTGTGGGGCCTGCCATCTCTACAACAGGTTTTCAGGGCTAAATTTGTGTGGCCGATGGCATTATTCGACCTATTTGTTTCCTAACGTCCATGCCAAAGTAGGCTCTAAACCAGATTCCCTAACCAAAAAGCTGGTGTCCCTTTTATTGGAAAACACGACCCAAGCTCTTGACAGGTTTCAATTTTAACTAAATTGAAACCTTCGATGTGTAAAGCTGACAACACAGTGGTGACGGAAGTTTTACTGGGACGCTATCAGTGGTCTACAATCCCGGGGTTATTCCGTTGTATTAAGCAGGCGTGTTTTCCGCGCCCTTCTCTGTCGACAGCAGCTGGGCAGCTTGTCTTGTTTTTTTTGTTTCTTGGTTTAATAACCCGGGCACCTTGTCGTGATCATTGGTTAACCTAATGGTTGATTTTCTCACCTTCCCATACTTTCGGTTTTACACATTTCTTTCAATTAGCTTCTCTAATTTAACCGCTGGGTAAGTGAGGCTGTTTCGTGTGTTGCTCAGTTCCCCTCTCCCTCCCTCCCTCCCTCCTTCCCTACCTCGCCTCTAACGTCGTAGTTTTCAGTCTCGAATGTTCTACCATTTTGTGTTGCTACTGTTATGTAAACAAGTAGATTGTGCTTATTGGCATGCAAATGTGGGTGTTCATCTCGTCGCTACTGCTTCGGTTCCCGCGTTGCGCGTGCTACGTTGGTTTCGTGCTTCTTTTTTTAGGAACCGCATGGCGACTCCGTCTGGCCCACCCATTCCACCTCGACCGTAAGTTTTACTCAACTTTGAACTCGGTTAAACGCCCCGACAACCACGATCAGCTCTGGGGGGCCCTCTTTAGTGGACGTTTGTCCAATGAATGCGCTGCATTTTTGAAACTTCGAAATGCCTGCACGCGCTCTTAGAAGGTTTCAAATTTGCTGGTTCACGTGCGCAGCATTCCCACGATTCAGTATCCCTTGGTAACTTGGAGTTAGCACTTTGGTGGGTTCACTTAAATGGCTTCAAAATAGGGAATGCAGTTTGTACATTCTGTTGTATTTAAAGCACGAAATGCCGTCTTCTGAGACGTGTTGACGCGAGTTCATTAATCACTTAAAATTACTGTCCTTTCTTTTAGGAACTAAGGTCCAGCAACAAACTGCCTTTCACTGCCGATGGTCCGATTTTTTTGATTTCACAAGCCATGCCACTACTTCGTTTTCTGCATTACTATTACTACTACTACTATTACATCTACCCATGTTCACACCTGTGTCTCTCGTCGCAATGTGTTCAAAGAAGGTGATGAAGTGGGAGGTGGGAGGAATAGGGTCGCTTCCCTTCTCGTCATGCCTCTTTGTTGCGTCTCGTGAACCACGGTAGAAGTTCCTCGTCCCCCAAATGCACACGCACCCTCATTGCTGATCTCTGCTGTCATCTTCCGAGCAGTTGCCTTGATTTTTTTACAGACATGCGCTTTTACCCATGTGATGCTATTTCTCAAGCAAAGAAATTTTAATCTAACTCCCTCTTTATTTTTTCTCCATTCAAATTGCCCGTCTGCCGACCTTGTGCCTCAAGGGGCCTGTTTGGCATCCAGCCCAAGCACCTTAGCCACTGCGCCTCACTCCCGTCAAGTAGGTCACGTGTCGTGATTATAGGGGGGGGGGGTTTCTGTCGGTAGTTTGCGGCCGTGCCTTCAAGATGCGTCCAACCTTAGCGAACCTTGATTTCACTGGCGCCAAATCCCTCTCACAACTAGGAACCCAGACACCAACTGGGCGGTGGGTGGTATGTTTAAGTGCGGCTCAAGTACATTCTCCATTTTGCGTCCCTTTAAAAAGTCCGATTTTGGCAGGCGGCACTTAGATCGACAACACAACTCCAATGTGCATTGTGTAGCTCCTATTTAAAGTGACAATTTCGGAGGCGTACGGTCAGTCGTAGGTAGGCTTCGCGTGCTCTTACGTTGAATCTGAATGAGGGAATCAGGCATGAGTCGGTGCGTCCCAGTTTTCACGGCACAATGCCACGAGAATTTCGCACCAGCGCCCGCTAAATCGTAGCCAAGACTGATGTAACTTGTTTAGGGCTTGGCTGTTTTCCTACATGCAATGCTTTGGTTGCAATCACGCCATTTAACCTCAGAAGCAAATGCGTGGTTTCTAACAGTTGAGCGGGCTGTCACTAATACACACGACAGTGGTGTTCTGGTACTTTTTTGTCTATGAATCCCAAGCTTACGCAATTAACCGTCTTTAGCACTAAGTCGATTTCCAAATTTGCCCGCCAATCGATTCGTAGACAAGCATTGTGCGCCAAGAGTTGGAAATCACGACTAGCGATGCTTGTCTCTGGATTCTGCCAACACATCCCCTCTGCCAAGTGAAAGCGGAACCCTTGCGCATAAAAGCCCTGACCGTATGTATAATCGTAAAAATGGGAAGCGATTGTGATAGGCGTGGCTTTGGCAATTTTGGACTGGACTAGCTTCTTTAATGTGAGTGAGGTAAGCTTTAATTACATGCATGGAAGGGAGCAGTTTGCGTCAAGAAGCTAGGCAGAGGGTGGGGCTGGCTTGCCGTAGGTGATTCGCCCCTCCGATTTTAATTGCCGATTTGGAAGTAAACGTTATGAGCATTGCCGTCGAATACTGACATAATCTTAACAACTCGCTTTGCAGGTGCCACCGTTGCAGCTAACTGTAAGAAGTTTTCAGCCAATTTGCAGCGAAGTAATGTCATTAAGGTCAAGCAATACAATCTTAACAGATTAGCTTTGGAGTGCAGTCGTTTTCCCAACCACAAATTGTTCCTGCGAACACAAAAAAACCCTTGTCATCGGCAGGTGCTCTGTTTGGCGTCGAACAACCCAAATTGACGGATGTTAATCATACCGTAATACGTTTTCAGCTAACATTTAGCAAAGTAGGTTTAGTCAGCTGAAGAAATCGAACGATTCCATCTTAACATCTCCGTTGACAGTACTGCTTTCAAGACATATATTCCGATCAAAAGCCAACACCCAGAAAAAAGAGGCTTGGTTTAATTGGTTGGTTGGTTGGTTAGGGAACCTGATTTCTATGTTTGCATTTGGATCAACAATGAAAATTGGCATAATGCTGAAAACTCATTATACTTGAAATTGTTAACACAGTCATCGCTCAGAAAGTGGAACACTTAATCTTAAATGCCTGTTCTTCCTTGCTTAGACTCAAACCGAAACCCCGTCCGGACATCAGTCTTATTAGTTTAGTAACTTGGGCTAGAAAAGTGTCAAACATAGTATTTGCGGCCGAAGTCCTCTCATATATGTGATCTACCTACGATTGCTCAAAGAGTTTGCATTGAAACGAAGTTATCTCAACAGATTCTGGTGCTTTCAAATTAATTCTCAACTTTTTAAAGTCTGGAGATCATTTACGTATCGAGGGACTTCCATCGTCAGTGTGGTTGTTTCGGGTTGTTTACTAAACCCGATTGATAAAAATGGCAAAACTTATTACTGCACCTTGCATTCCAGGTTTGTATGAATTCGCTACACTAAAGCCCATAATTTTATTGAGGAAAACTTTTTGCTGTAAGGGCAGTTGTGCAGTCTTGTGATTGTTAGACTTGAGAAGACGACGATCACGTCCAGAAAGTTGTTATCTGAGCGTGTTCCTACTTACTTTTGTTGTACAGTTGCTGCGTAGATTTGTATAAATGCCTTCCCTTGTGCGTGTAGATTACATCCTTGTTTTCATGTGTACCACGAATGACTACACAGTTAATTCGAAATTATGAATTAAAAGCAACTAATTTTTTGAGTGAAACCACCAAATTTGTTCAGGTAGTGTGTGGGACTGAGTTCATACAACCGCCTTTTGACACGATTGCCCAGATGAACCCACGAATTGACTAAGACCAGAATTCGCAATTGGGGTACAACGTAAATCACTCTACGCATTCGTTTGTATTGATTGTATTTAGAGAAAATGCTTAGTGCATTTTTTGACCACCGTACTGTAGCCTAGTTCTCCGTGGCACTCACTTTACCCATCTAATTTAAAATCTACTGGTAGATACTGTGAACTTCAATCTTCTTGTTACCCTCAGTATAAAACTGCTTAATGTGAAAAGAAAACCTGAGCCCTATGACTGTTGTCATTCTGAGGGATAGGCGTGTTTTTCATGAACTTGGTGAGGATAACCCAACTTGCTGATTCACGCGTCAGGGCTACATTTAGGGCGTTGTCTACAAACAGATGGGAAATCCTTTCCGGAAAACATAACAGTGGTTCAAAATGAAAACGGAAGGACCTCAATTTTACGATTTTTCAGTCTTTTGTGTACAATTCAATGGGTGACTTAAAATAACGCTCCAAAGTCAAGACTTTCTTTCGCCATTACCAGTTTTTTTCACGTATACCAGTTTGCTGCATCATCATCATGTCATAACCACACGGAAAAAGTTTTTTTTCAATTTCAAAATGCACTTATTTATATATAATGGGTGGGAGCCTTCCCGGTAGCGGGTCGCTATAGTAGACATGGGAGAGGGGTGTAGTATGGATCTCAGTTGGCGAAGTCGGAAGCATATAATTGCCCCACTTTATGCGAGCCCATTCGTCGTGGGGGTAGAGAAGAGGGAAAACGCGCTCAATCTCAAGTCTCTCCTCCTCCGAAAGGGTGGTCAAATGTGGGGCCGTCTTATACTTGTAGGGGAGGTTCAGCTTCGACTCAACAGGCGGGTTTAGCGGTGTGATGTTGGCCTTGTTGTCCTTTTTGACCAATGGCCTGATTTCCAGGCTTGTGAACATTAAGGAGGGCAGACGAGTTCGGCTGTTGACAGGCATCGCTGCCGGAGCGTCCCGCAATATCGATTGACTGTGTCCTAGCTGCACAATATTTAAACAAAACGTGTTGGACCACCACGCGATTAATCACGTGTAGACCCAAAGATCAATTTTATTTTCAAAAGAAATTACAGTGTTTGATGGCAAATTTAGCGTCGATACTGAATCGTGTCGGTCTGATTGGTATCATTCATGAAGCTAAATGGTCCTCACACCTCGATGTGTTGCATTTCCATTTTCGCAATATGAGAACTATTCACAATCAAAGCTTTAGATGGTTCCTTTGAAGCACACCATTAAGGCTAAAAGTGCTTTAGAGCCTAGCAAGTTTGATACTCTTTAGGCCCACAAATGTCTCCGGCACGACGAATTGTCCCCGTATACTTCCCTGCAGTCCGATTGTGGAAAGTTGAAATTAATTCAGCTAAACTCTGGTTCTATCCTTCGAGTTAACTCAGCCCCAAATACCACCTTATTTGACCCGACTATCGTTTTAATACTTTAACTAGGCACAGGTTTGCACTTTGCCATTATTTGGACTCTTTTGGGCTTAAACTTTTCGATGACAGGTTTGCGTGCGCGTGTGTTCTACAGACGACGCTCCATTAGTTGCTGTCCCTCCCTCTCTCCCTTGATGTGGTAAGCAAAACTCCAGTGCAATGACAGCCTTTAACTACTTTGGGCGTTGTCCCTGCTCAACTTAGTTGACGCCCAATACTCCACGAGATTAAATTTAAGTTTACAATCAAAATAATCTTCCATGCAAATTAGAATATAATAATGCCCTAACATTTCCCCCGATCACCATGGCGTTCGCTGTCCTCAAGACAAAATCTTGATGTACTTCAGTTACTCCAAGATCTGACGCAAATTCAGCATAGTTTAGAAATGTCAGATTTTCAAGAAAAATCTGGCCAACATTTAAGGCATGACTTAGGTTTACAGTTATTTCTAGATTGTGTGCCAGAACCTTGGCCCAACAAGGGCGTAAAAACACTTTATAAACGAGATGTGCCAGCGACTTCCCTTAAGCTGCTCCCATGAGGGATCTAGCAATTGCTTTTCATCTTTACTACTGAGGCGGACTGAATAAAATATAATATACATGTTTATTTTTCATATCACAATGCAAGCAACATCTAGCTGTGGAAATGCTCTGGTGATAATTCCGGGGAACTTGGACGCTACGCCTTCCAAGCGTAGAGGTAAGGGGAGTTAGAAAGAAGACTATTCCATTCTTTGCACATTGACAATTCATCTACTGAAGTAGAGTAGACAATGTCATTCTCAAAAATTGTCAAAAGAGTATTCGCCTTTTCAGGAAATAAGTTACCTCGCCAGATAAAATGCTTCAGGGAAGTGCAAAAGTTGTCACTTAGTTTTTCCAGTGATTTTTCCGAAGATAAAGTCTTTTCGGCAGCGTATCTATAATCGGGATGGATTCGATAGGTTTTGAAGAGTAGAAATGCGTCCCAGCCATGAAATGCTGAGGATACAAAGGAGTCAAGGCCATATGGATTAAAGTGAGCATGATGGCTGCGAATGTAATAACGAAAGGTAGGCTGTACACGTCGAAGAGACCTTGCATAATATTGTAATGGACACGTGACGCGAATATCCGTTACGATTTGAGAGTATTTTTCAACAATATTTGGCATTTTTAAAGAGCGATTCTCAGGGTGGATTTCATCCACGGCTTCTTCTAAATGGTAGAATCTGGTTATGAGTTTGAACTCTGAACTGGTCTTTCCAAAAATGCTTTTGATATAATCAGTCATCGCAGACAGTGTCCAGAGTTGAACGGTGTTAGGAAACGGGTAAGCCTCAGCTTCGTGGGAATTTTGGCCCACTACAATTGGTATCGGAGACATTTGGGAGTTCCACGAGTTGTTTGTGACGACCTCACCATCTAAAACCAGAATTCCTCCATGGCACGGTAGTCCAGGAAGACAAGCAATGTTAGAAGAAGATGGAATGGTAAATGATTGTTCTATCCAAGACTCAACAATACTCCAATTCCAAAGCCTTAAGATTTCTTCTCCTGTCTTGGGACACACAGAGTTCGCACAATCAAAAATGTGTGCGGACGACTTGACCGCCGAATCGAGTGATATTCCCGGTTCTTGGAGAGCCGGAGCACTGATCCAGGCCTTTTCAAAAAGATTTTGGGCAATGGTGGAACCAAGAAGAGCTAATACTGTTGTTGCGCCCGATCCATAAGAAAAGATGGTAATCTTGAGGGGATCTCCCCCGAATTGGCGTATGTTGGTGCGAACCCACCGAAGCCCTGCAAGCTGATCCCGAATGCCGATATTTGACACTTTTGTGGAGGGATGTGTCAGAAACCCAAATGGTCCCAGTCGATAGTTAAGGGTAACATATATAACGTTCATTTTAGTAACTGTTTCCGGGTCAGGCTGGTGAAAGAACGCTGACCCGTTCGACGCTCCACCATAGTTGAAAAAAAACCCACCAATTATAAAAATGACAGGGTGGAGTTCGTCTAGTTTGTGAGTTGGAGGCATAAAGATGTTAAGATACAGGCAGTCTTCATTTCCAATTACTTCATCAGATATAGGTGTAAGTTGCAAGCACACGCTTCGGTAGCTAGTAGCATCAAGAATGCGTTCTTGATGGAGTGACGTGATGTTCCAGGCTTCAGCACACAAATCATTTGTTGTAAGTTCGATAGGTTTATGAAATCGACGGATTCCTGTTGGTGGAAGAGCATATGGAATACCAAGGAACTGTACAATGCCATTGCTCATAAAACCTTTGACAACACCACAGCTCGTTTCAGCAAAAAGACTGTTCGATATTTGCACATATCCATGGAGAAATAATGAAATATATAATGCGTAAATGCTTACTGCTATCAAAGCAACCAAAACCAAAAATGTAACGCATAAAAGTAGGGGGACTTTTCTGTCCAACAAGGAAACCTTGAAGTTCGAAAAGGAAATTGTTTCTTCAGATGAAAAGCTGTCGTGTTTGTCAGACAATCGCTCTGTATATTCCTTACTCTCTAGCTGAGGCGTTGGGGTCATCACATTTTACAACACGGGTTCAAATACTCGATTATAAATAACATACAGTGCGGGGGAAACTCAAGGTCGGGAAATAAATTATCGCTTTGATTTAAAACTATGAAAGTATCAAGGCCGATTAAGCCCACGTATTAATTATTTGCCGTAAGCTGCTTTTTTAAAAAAAATTGAAAGAATTGGTTGCATTAGTAGCTAATGTGCATTTCATTTCTTTGCGACATCCAAAGAAAAAGGCTGCAAGAGAAAAGATGATGTACTTAATTTAAGAAAGATTATAGAAGAATTGTAGGCAACCATTTACAACAATCTGCATAAAACTAATTATACTGAGATGTACCTTACCGTAGCAAGTCCTAAATTTATAATAAATAACAATTTCACCTCGCGTTCCATGTTAGTTAAAACTATTAGCCCTGTTTCAGGAAAATTGAGATATAAAAATAGCAACATTAAAAGACTGATAAATATCTGAGTCAAGCATTGTCGATCTTATCGCTTAATACATCAAGTTCATCGTATGCAAATTAAATTTGTAAAAAAATTTAAGCAAGTGCTGGTTTTTATGAAATAGGACGTTAATGACATTAAGCTCTATTTAGTAGTATAGCATATGCCTAGACCATTTCAACACTAAAAAGGGTATCAAAAACAAAAATTACACAGTGAGAAAATTACAGTTTCCTAATGGATAGTTATGTTGACTTTGTATATTGTGAGTAATTAACACATTATTTTTAATTGACTCCTGGGCTAGATTTTTCTGCTTAGTCTGGTTAAATGTTTTGGCCGGATCAAACAGATGCTCTTGTTCTTGAGAGGAGATAATTTGTTTTGGTGTTTGTTTTGAGCAAAGCAACAGAATAAAGAACTGAGTGTATACACTAAGTGAAGTAGAGATACGTTACCTTGTTAGGATAGATTCGTGTACTGGTTTTCGAAAAAGAGGTTTTTTCGTATGAAATAATAGCTAATTTGGATTCGATTGTTAAGTGATGGGCTTGAGTGTGAATTTTTTAATGAAGCCTTGTGCATGGGATACCTGGTCCACATAGATTGTGGCGATGGTTGCTAGAGAAGCACTTAAAACAAAGTTAATTTGGTCAGGCCGATTCCAACTTCAGCAGAAGGAAATATATGCCTGAAATAGACCAATTGATAACGGTTATGAGATAGAACCAAAAGAAATGACAAAATAAAACCATTTGTGATAGCTAAGGAGAACAAAAATTCAAGTAGAGAGCTAGTAGAAGCAGAACGAGATGATCTACAAGGAATGGACTGTCCACATTTCCCCTGATTGGCTATGGCAAATTTTGTCAAACTTGTTTATTTCACCACAGGCAAAGTAAAACCCTTCATCTAGATATTTGCACTTAAAGGCCAGGTGAATATGGCAAATTTCAAACCATAAAATAAAATAACAAATGAATCATGGGGCTTCCAAAGACAAAAAAATTATAAATTCGAGATTTTGTTTTTAGGAAACCAAAACAATTTTACCTTACATTTATGTCCTTGTAAACATCAAGAATGAATATATACTTGTTCCAAACGAATAAAGTATACTTTACATGCTCGATTATTTCAAACCCACTGCATTTGGTTTGTAAGCTTGTATGATTTTTTCATATCACAAAAGTAGAATTAAAGTATGCTTTTTGGAGCGAATTTGAGCTTTAAGGGATGCAGACGAGTGTTTGATAAACAATGTATCTAATGGTGTAAATGCACCTCAATAAATTATTTTTCTTTACGTTTATTGCCATTGTGTGGCCTTTTCTCTCTCCAAAACGGACAGTATAAGATTGAAAGGTGATTGGCCATTGTGACCACGCTGCTCTCAACCATGCTACTTCCCAAGCTCAGTTAAAATCGTAAGCCTTATTGTGGAGACGGCAGGTGGAGAAAGACGTTCTGAACGTACTGCTGACTAAAATTGTCCATCAAAGTTTTCCTTTCGCTATAATGACGGTGGTCGTCCATCCTTTCACCTGGTTGGGTAATCTTCATAGACATTTGACGGTGAATTCAGTGAACTTCCGGGGTGAGCCAATATGGCTGCATCAGATGCCATTTATCGAATGAGGGTTCTCTGGTTGCTGTGCTTTCATCGGTTTTTTTTAAGATAGTTGTAGCTCCGTGAAAGTTACAGAGATAAGGTCGGCTTATCGGTCTGTTTAGTAAATTTGGGCAGAATTTTTTTGTTGATCTAGATGCGGAGACTAATGTACCCCCTCCAAGATAGTTGCTTTAAGGACAGACAGTAGTGGTGTTACAACGCTCTCTCGAATCTTTCCTCTTCTACTCTGGTTACCTTTCTCGTTTGCCTTATTATGCTGTACTAAATTCCCTTCACAACTAAGGCGAACCAACATTTCCTGTTAATTCTGGCCCTAGTACAGTGACATTCAACGTCACTTCTATGCAGTTTATGCGCCTTTTCATGTGTGTTGTGTTCTATAGTGCGATCCTTTTTAACTGGATATTTTACAACCATGAAAGTCCGTGGGATATCCTGTTTGAGCTGGTCACCATGGTGTTGATTTCATTAATTCCACAACAGAGCGCTTTCATCTGTGTCTCGTAGCTTTGAAATTTTGAATCCTAGTTCAATTTTATTTTGCTTTATAGCGACCGAATCCTAACCATCCACGTACCTATCCACTCCAAGCTTGTCTACTTGTGATTAAAATTCCGACGACGTTTTGTTAGTCTTAGTGAACCACTTCATCTTTTCTGCACTGAAAATGTGGCAAGCGATTCCAGACTCTGTAAGTGCAGAAAAGTCGATTACTGGTGTTAAAGTGTTAAGAGGTCAGTATGTTGCTTTATCGTCTCAATCAATGTACCTTTAATATTTTCTGTGAACATTACCTAACGTCCTGTGGATGAGTTAATCAAGGCCTTCTCACTTCAGATAAATTCTCCTTTTGCCAAACCTCTTTCTCTTTCATCCACTCACCGATTTCTCGAGATTTTTAATAGCTTATCCAAAATGCGCGACTTTTTATGCCTCCGCAGTATAGCTTCATTTCTTGAGTTATTGTACCTGCGTGTTGCATGAAGATTCACTCTTCGCAAGACGAAACATTAATAAATGTATATACCTATGCGAATTGGCATTCTTTTGTGCTCTTGGCGATGTCCTATAATGAGGGAGGGCATAATGATGCTTTTTACGCTGAAACTTCTCTTTGTTCTAGACTTTTTTTCTGTTTGTCATTGAGTACTAAGGGGTCTAATCTCCATGACGTCTCACTGCACACTTAGATCCACTTGCAATGTATTGAGGTAAATCAAGTGGCACAAAAAAACTTAAGTGACGTCAATAACGTTTTTGGATGGGTTACGCGTACACTCTTCGATATAGACTTAGTGGATATTCCAGCTACACGTGGTTTAAAACCTTTCTAGGTGTGTATAACAAGTGGTGTAGGGGTCTCCATCTACTTGTGTGCTTGTATAGCAATGAAAATGTGTCACTGATTACGTCGTTGCTGGTAATTGTTAGCGCATCCAGCGGTAAGGCCCAGTTACACCGATTTCAGGTACTCCAACTCACACCAGTGCGCAGCCGTTTTTTATGAATGGGTGTGGTCAGTCGTGCGTCAAGTTGTTAGACATGTTACTCTCTATTAGTCTTTTGATTTCCCCACCGGCGCGTGTCAGCCCCCTTGTTTAACTTAATGAACATCTCTTGCTCATCACTGTTTAGAACTATGTGGAAGCCTATCCAGATTGGTGACAAGGTGATTGTACAGAAGGACGATTCCTACCACGTTGTAGAGGTTCAACCCAATGGGTGAGTGCTACGCGCGTTACTCTTCCTTCTTTTAATTCCGAGCAACTGTCTTCATCAAGAATTCCTCCCCCCCCCATTGTATAGGTTCATTGTTTTTGAGAAGGTCAAGGTTCCAATCTCTTCCATCATTGGCTACCCCCTGGGAGCAACATTTTACTTTGACGGGACAAAAGTCACACAGGTTGAATGCGATGACATAGCCTTGGAGGGAATTGAAACTCAGTCCTCGAAGGACAACCGGCACCTCTTAGACCGCTCGGAAAACCAACTTCTGACTGCTGACGATATCAAGGACCTCAAGTCGGCCGGCTCTACTGGCAATGTTTGTTCGTCCCGGTGTTCTAACTCTATAACCTCTAGGTGATCATCTCGAAGCTGGTGGAAAAAAGTGCCACCTTCGAGCTAAAAACGAAGTACTCACAGGAGAAGTACTTGAAGAAGAAGAAAAAGTCGTATTTATTTGTCTTCACAGTTCGGCCTTCCAACTCACGCGCCACCGCCGAAATGCTGTCCGACTCGGGTCGGTTTAAGTCAACGTAGGTTTTCTATTTGTGTGTAACACTGCGATATCCTTGTCACTGTGCCATCAATTTCTGTGGTGGTGTCATCCTCTCTTGCAGGTCACTGCGATACGACTCCCTCGTCCAGCTGTTGACCTACGCCAACGTGCATGCCGGTTCGACGGTGCTTTTGACCGACTCTTACGGAGGACTGGTTAGCAAGGCGGTTATGGAACGCCTGGGACACCGGAAATTCGGTGGTCGTCTGATCAATTTCTTCCATGGCACCTCTCCGCCCATCGTGGACATGAGACCGGCAGAGGAGTACTCACGAGTAAGTAGCGGTCCATCGGGAAGGGTGGCGTGGTTCCTCGGTGATTACACTGTTAACCAACTAATAGGGTTTGAGGATAATGCAGTCACCTGTACCACGAGATCTTCTCCAAGTTCGCCGGATTCCGCTGGTCCATTTTTTTTTCAAAATCGCCACGGGCACTTTTTCTTCATAGGTTTACAAAATTCAATTCACCGAAGTTTCTTCCCTCCTTCTGACGGGTTCATTTCTGCGGAGCCATCAAGCAGAGAATGGCGACGGAGGGACAGAGTCGCTGCCTCCTAAGCAAAAGGTCAGTTGGGCTACTTTAATCAGTCTAGTCTTTACTCATTAGTATGACTCTAGTTGTTTTTTCCCTGATATTGTTAGAGACAACATTTGGAAGAAAGCAAAGAAGGTACGCGAGCAGGTGAATCACACTGGCCAGTTTACTTTTGCGGGGTCTCGTTCCTCTAACACCAGTGTTTTTTGTCTGCAGTGGACAGGGTGCCAAGTTCAGATGCCGCTGAACCCTCTCCAACTGAGCTAAGCAAAACAGAAGGCCCAGAGCCCACTAGAAAGCAAAGAAAACGGCCGAGAAACGGGGAGGACATGTCAGGCGAAGACAAGGTCAGGCTGTTTCAGCAGAAAATGGAACATCTCGACGAGGCTCGCAGGGTCCTTTGTCCCACAGATGAGGAGTTGTCTTTGGATCTTGAGAACAGACCGGACTGCCTCATTGTGGCCACGCGTTTCTACCCCGTTGAAGTCACGCTTCTGTTGCTGCAGTTCCTACCGCCAGGTCGACCGTTTGTCGTTCACTCGCACCTGCTTCCGGTAGTTAGTTTTACTTGTAGTGCTACTTGACGAGCATAAGTAGACTTAATTTAGGTATTGTCTTTACCCGCAGCCACTTGTCGATTTGTACAACATACTCAAGAGACGTGGAAGTTGCATACAACTGGCGCTTAACGACACCTGGCTGCGTCCGATTCAGGTGCTTCCGAATCGCAGTCATCCGATGATGCGTATGGTCTCGGGTGGCGGTGGATTCATTCTTCGGGGCTACACCGTTCAACGCCGGGAAGATCCCGATGCCTTTTTGAGGCGTTCTACCATGCGAACGTCGACAAAGCAGCTATTTGACGAGGGACTCATTTCGTACGCACAATAACTTTTGTTCCTTTTGTACTTAACAAAACGAGATACTTTCACAAGGCATCCTTCAGTCAATTCTTTTATGCCTATTCTACTACACAATTGAGAGGCGAATTGCTAGCAAAGCGATCTGAACTGGGTTGTTAACGGTAGTCATAGTAACCATAACCACTCGGTGTTTGTCGCAAGCAGTTACCCCTAAGGCACCAGGTGCCTACGCCTGACCTCGTTTTCAGTCGAGATCGGTTTTGTTACTAAGACTACCCACTTGTTGTGGCAGTTCATTCATTGAATATCCAATTTCAGTTCACTCAACCTCGTTTCGAGCTGATGTTTTTAGCAACTGAAAACTATGTGGCGGGGGCTTTATCGATGCCACTAGTCGCGGCCCCTCTGCGATGTCAGTGGCGGTTGGGTGGATCTTCCCAATGCAGCGTCTAGTTCTGATGCTGCTAAACTTGCGTCATAAAACGCGCCGTCCGATTGCTTACTCTAAACTCACCTGCAATTAATTTGGTAAAGTTACTGCACCAGTGTGGTGCCCCGACTGTGCACGCACAACACCGCCTGACCTCCTTTGGCTCCACGGGACCGCTCGGCCTCAAGAAGTCGAGACATACACTGCCTTGTCTAGGACCTGCTAAAATGACTGCAAATGTCGCTACCTTGTACAGCCCCGAACAGCCGTTCGTGTCGTCTGTTTGTACTCGCTACTTTTTGTGTGGCTCAAAATGAGGGTGTTCTGACATTCCACCATCTCTCCCCGAGGGCCACGTGGATCGGCCGTGGTGCCCGTTTGTTTATTGACGCTCCTGCGTCAGAGTTCCTCAGACCTGCACCCACATAAACAATCGCGCCGTTTAGTTTACCGTGGCGATGCGCGTCAATATAAAGGCGCGCTTAAAAGGCCAGAAATGGAACCATCGGAATGGCGCCTTCGACAGGTCTGGTGGTTGTGCTTGTCCTGCAATGCTACCTCCTCAGCGCGGAAAACCTCGACGTCCCAAGTACGTTTGCAACCTTTGCAAGGTATATTCTAATCGGCATAAGTTTTCGCATCCTATCGTAACTTCTGTCACAGTAAAAGCCTTTTGATAAACTGGGAATAGAGGCTGGGTAAAGCGTGCGTGTAGTCGCGTTGAGTGTGAATTGTGTCCGAATTACGTAGAGGGTAATTCAATGTTGGTACGCCTCAAATTCAATTGCAAATACCCGCAACTGAAGTCGGGGGTAGCATTCACTGGATGCGTGCCTTGAAGATGAGGATGAATGAATATTGAGAACCGCAAGGAATTGTCATTTGTACTCCATTTGATGCTGGCATCCGATCGTTATGTCGTCGTAATACCGAGTTTCTGGGACTAATGAGGTAATTCAGCCTCTAACCAGAAATTTTTACTGGCCCAACGATTTTTTTCTTCTGACGAAGTCATTGGTGCTCTAGGACACCCAGATCCAGAGATCGAAACGAGCTTGGCGTACTCTTGATGTCCGATTTTGTAGAGTGTGCGACGAATACGTGCACCGACCCCTATGCCGAGTGCTTCAACATCTCGTCGACGCGTTGTTGCGTCTGTCCGCCGGGTTTCAGTGGTGGAGGAGCCGAAAAGTGCACAAATGAACGTAAGTGCGCCTCATTCCAGAACCATACCTTCAACCGAGCTAATGCCTAAATCGTAATTAAGAAAGTCCTCTCAACCAAACCCTGAAAAGTTTGCAGCCCTAGTAATATTCAGTTGTCTTGACAACACTCCGACTGCCTAACTAACGTTCCGTGGAAGTGAGACGTTTCTAGTGACGCTTGTGGGTGACAGGGAAATTCAAAGCTTTTCACGGTTCCGCCTACAAAGCGAAGCGTTTCCACCTAGTGGTAATTTCTCAGCACACAGCCCAGGCCCGGTGATGCTTTGTTGAGCTTCTGATTTATTGCTATCAAAACAAGTCGAAGTAAACGCAAAACAATTTTAATTGCGAATATTATTGCTGCCTTGGTGAAAACACTAATCTCGTGGTCGTTAACCCTCCCTAGGCTCGCCCGTATTATGTACCTGGTTCCCTAATTGTCTTTTTGTTACCGCTCTCTCCCTAATTGAGGTAACAATCCAAATCTAGAACATAGCACCACCATTTCATTCGCTTCTTATGAAAAGACCTCCAGCCAATCAACGTGGTTCGCTCCGTTCAATGCGCTTTTAGTTTCTTAAACCTTGGTTAAACGCAATTGTGTTTTCCCGTGAGTAATTAATCTAGGAGGATCTGGGTGATAAAGCGTCTTGATTCACAGACTATGTTCGAAACAATTGCCTAATTTAAACGGGTTCGCTGGTCGATGCTCATAGAATTAAACTAATTAGAGACTGGTTTAAATGTTGTCGTCATTGTTTGAACCACAAATGAGGTGTTGTGTGTGGTAAATGGAATCACCTATCTGCGGCGTGGACGTGAGATCAAACAAACAGCCTGACCAGGGGGGTAATTTCTGCTCCTGAAATCGCTAGTGCATTTTAGATCGTGTTCTGGACACCACACATTCATTCAGTGAAGCTTTGGAATTTTGGAATGCCAAATAAATTAAGCGTACATTCGAAAACATCTTTGCGGGTTTATCTGAATCATTATTACCCAAAAAATTGCTGAATGTAAAAAAAATAGTGTGAGACGTGTCAAATACAAGTCAGTTGCAACCGGGCCGTTGACTTCGACCGTAATTTTCTATCGAGCACTGCTTTCCCAACGGCAGAGAAAATTATTGCAATCCAGCACCAATCAACCAGGATTAAGGTAGTTCGATGCCTTAGTGTAAGAAGACGGCAGGATGGTTCCTTGTGGTTCACTGTTAAGAGGTTACGTTTTATCCACAAGATATTTACCACCAACTTCTCAGGTGGGTTGCTCTCACTTCCAGAATAAATACGGTAGTTCTAGCTTTCCATGTTCGCTTGTCACCTTCATTGAGTAAGGTCAAAAAGGCTCGGTCGCGGTACTGCTTATGATGAGGCTGTCCATTATCGGCTTTTTTAGGGTCTCCAGAACGATTCATTCGGCTAAGAGGTACCATATCAATTAAACACTTTAACGACACTTATGAGTATAGTTTCCCGATCTCCCACGAGACCCTAACCATTCGAGGCCCTCCCCTTGGTCAGACAGCCATTCACGACGTCCCCTCCACGGGCACCCTTCACAACACCCTCAGCCTTCTCACTCCATTTTTCCACTACATAAACATCCTCACCAGCTTGCCTACCGAGAACTCCCGAATTTACAACATTTTCTCATTAACTGGGGGGTTCTCTAATCGCCTTCGACTCCAATTCAACTCGAGTTTCGAAGGTCATGGGGTTCTTCTCGTGGAAGCCCTTATTCAACAGACTATCTCCGACTCGGACTACTTCGAAGGGGAGATCAACGTGGAAGTAAAGAGTCAGAGCTCATTCCGTGCTCCGGAGGAGGTTTTTGTTGAGAAGCACACTTCCAACAGCGCCATATACTATGAGAAGATTGGCCGGGGAGTCGTACGGTTTGAGAGACAGCGGTTTGAATTCATGCCAAAACGGCGGGAGCTAAACAAGACGCTGCATGTGACCATTTTGGGTGCCGGGTACATCACAGTGGACGAGGCCGCATGCCTACTGGAGAACGACTCTCTGGTGCAGCAGGGAAAAGACGGCTTTGTTGCGCGTTTGGCGCCGAAGGGCTACTGCAACACGGCCTGCCCCCACAGCAGCAAATTGTGCACAATCTTCTGCCTCGATTATCCAACCCTCGAGTCTAAATATAGTCGTGAGTGGTTTTGTTTTACCCACTTTGACTGCCTGTTTAGCTGGAGTCACAGTTTTAAGTCCATTAACTTCGCGAGGTAGTAAGAATGCCAATGACAGGAAGGATTTGTCCAATTGTATGCCCACTATGCCTGTTTATAATGTGTTTTCAGCAGTTTTGGTAATCTACGTAAAACAGCAAATTCGCAAAAGTCCTTGACTTGAATTGGAGCCTAATAAACGAACTTAGGAGTCACTCATTCTATTGTCAAGGAGACATTTGAATTCAGGTCACAAAATACCATTGTGTACACAAACTTTGTCAAAATGGACTTGTTGCACATCATGCTTGATGCTATGCTAGTACTCACCGTCCTAATTTAGATTTTTTGAGCATTGATGATATTTAATTGATTGATTTTGCTTAAACTCGCGTTTCGTCATATGCTTCCTTATTGGTCAACACGCGAACTGCGACAATTTATTCTGGATTGTAGCTGTTTTTATAATGTCTTTTTTTTAAAGGAAACACATTCATGCATCTAGCAATTTTAAGGAACATATCGATGGTACCTTTAGTTGGTTAAAAATGGCTTGCGTCTACACCGGTAGATCTCACACCTTGTCGACGATTTCTATTAAAGAGTCCTCAACTTCCATTTAGCAAACGCCTTCTTAGACTCACGATTGGTAAGGTAGAAATGCAAAACAGTCGCTTCTGTTGACGTGCAGTAAGGCAGTGTGGTTGCACTAAGCACTTGGTGGTGCGCTCTTACCAGCTACTGACTAGTTCCTTTAGAAAACTCTGTTTTAGCCCTCCCACATCCTCATCCTCGCGTTGGCATTCGTCTTTATGATGTGCAGTGTGTTCACGCCAGCATGTTTTTGGACTGCTTCGTGGGAAAATCTCTTGGTTAAACAAGCTACTCAAAACAACAATTGTTTGCTTAGATTGGGGGATGACGACGACACGTGGAGGTTGGCTGTTTCGTGACTTAATTCATGCCGATTTTTCAACAAATTTATTGAATTTAACACAAATAGAGGACGGCGAAATTAGCCTTAGAAATATTGCTCATCGTTTTCAATGACCTTGCGCCATCTCTCAGGTACCGTACGAATGCCGTCGCGAAAGTAACTTGCAGGCTTCGAGGCAATAAAGCCATCATCGAAGAATTTACGCACATCGTCCAGCGTCTTGATCTGTTTATCCACAGAGGCGTGCTGCTGCTGCTGCTGCATTGACCGGAACAAATGAGAGTTGGAAGAGGGGTTAAGTCTGGTGAACATGCTTTCAATCCCAAGTTCAAGAGGGTCTTCTGAGTCCCGCGAGCAAAGTGATGTCGATCGTTGTTATGTAGCAGCAGTATGACTTGCCTGCTTCCTTGCCCAATAACTGGTCTTTTCCCATCAAGTGCTTTGCTAATTTTGTTCAATTATCAACTGTAGCGATCTACAATCATTGTCTGACCAGTTTCCAAGACTTGTCGGGAAAGCAGTGACCTAGGTTGTGTTTGGTCAACACATGTGGGACTCAAATTCCTCGTTTTTTATATATTTCCCGTTTGATGGTGTAAACGCCTGGAAATAGCTGTTTGGGTGACTCCTTACTGAGATGCAAGCTCTTGTTGCGTTTGCGTGGAGTCTTCGTCCAGTAGAGCTTGCGATTCTGCATCTTCAAACCTTCGAGGCTGTCAGAGGCGCAACTGGTCTCTGAGATTGAAATCACCACTTCTAGAACGCTTTCATAAGACACAACGTCGACACCAAGAAAGTTACAAATTGATTCCCTCAGTGCTTTAGCAGCATTTCGTCCTTGTTGGAATTCTTATAAAAAGCAATGCCATAGAATGTGCTGTTTGTCAGTTGCCATCGTCGTAAACTCAGGTATTCTGAGGGGTTATGTAACTCACGGAGACTTGTCGTTTGGTGTTCTGAAGCCATGTGTCCGATCCTTTCAAAGCCACAAAAGACCGCAATTAGAAGCTCGAGGGAAATATCTTTACAAATTAGGTTGCACACATTCGGAGGAGTGTTTGGTGTTCCATTTCACTTTGCATTTCGCCGTCTGCGCTTGGAGTTGAGACGCATGCGCGTGTGCCCTAGCCTGGGTAACACGCTGTTCGTAGCCTATTGGTTGACAGCGGTTAGAGGCAACTCCAACCGAATGCAGACATATCCTAGTCTCTGCCCGGGCGTTTACTCATTTGCTTATCTCACACGACTCGTTGAGTATTCCCTTGGGGATGGTGACCCTGGTTTTCCTCATCACGGGCTTATTTTCATCACGTATGTGGACTATTGTAGTGTTGTGCTTCCGTCCGCTTTGTTTGGTTGCAAGCGCTCCGACACTAACACCCCTGTTTCACCTTACTTAGTCTTCACCGAACCTGAGGGTATTCGCAGGCCTCGCGTGATCGAAGACTTGGATGAGGACGCTGCACTTTGACGGTTAGTTGAAATGTTGGTTCTTTAAGGAACCTTACTTTATTTGATAGTCGATTTCCTCACTTGTCCTAACTTGGGATGAGTCGGCGAAAAGTACCCTCTTAAAAACATAAGGTGGGAGTAGAAAGAGTGATGTCGTGTGTTTCGTGTACAGAAGACCGTAGAGAGGGGAGATGTGATTTACGAAGACTGTCAACTAATGGAATTTCGATGAACTAGCAAATGTACGAATGGCTGAATAACGAGGTGCGTGGTCAAGGCACAAGACTGGATGATCATGGAACACTGCGAGCGAGGGTGGGGTGTTTGAGTTTGCGGCGACGTCGTTGATGCAAATGAATCATCACGGCTCACTACAACGGCGTTCCGCTGTGCTGCCGGCCCAGAATGTGACGACTAGTCGCTGCTTTTAAACTATCACTCAACGAGAGGCCGTTAAATGCACTCATGCAAAGGCACGATAGAATTCGCTCCAGAGAGCCGCTGGATTCTGTGGCAACCTTGAGCCCACGCTGCACACAACTTAGCGAAGCCAATAACTCCCGAGTTGTTTTGAGCATATAAAACTTGGCTTCGAGGTAGAAACGTTGTTGATGGGCAGCGATAATACCGTAAAAGCGGTGGTAAAAACACATGCATATTTCGAGATTGTCTTGGAGAACCAAGTGGGCTTGAATCTTGGCGTGTACTTTCTTCAGAGTGATTAACTGTCGCGATGCTTTCATTAACCGGAGTGTGCCTAGGTCATGCGTGAAACTGGTACGTTCCGTGGCTAGGCAGTGTGCTGCAAATCAGTCGTTGTGATACCTCAGCAAGAGCTGCTACGCAAAAAGGTGCTGAAAGGTCAAGTCACGGGTGGCCAGTCAGCATCATTGTCAGTGTATTAACGTGAATTTTTTTCTAGTCAGAAACATACACAACTAAGCCTGTTGACCCTAATCACAATATTTTTGAAATTTTGTGCCTAATTTGCTGGCAAATCGTGACGTGGGTCCACACAAAGCACATCGAAAATCAGGTTGTTACTTTGTTAGTGGGTGAGTTTTCGGCATCGGTCTCGTTTCTACGTGGGCTTGTATCCGCGGCGACGCCTAACCGCTGCGAACATCTATGCTGTTTTTTCTCTGCTACCTGTGCACGAGTGAGGGTTAACGCTAACCAGAAAATTGCGTTCATTCGAGCAACTCATAAACTCCAAGTCGCGCAACCCTTGGCACTGCGCTATATGACTGATGTACACAGGCTTTCCCTTGATTTCCTCATGCAGTAACTGTTTCGGGTATCGGCGTTGTGGTGTGGATCGACGGATCCTTGGATCCTTCACCACAAACGCTAATGCTGGGCTTGAAGTTGTGTTGTGGGCCCCAGCATGTGGTCTTGAACCACGCCGGGGCCACGGAATTAACTCTGGCCCGATTACGCTTGTCTGATACCCGCGATGACGAAAATGACCGGAAAGGACGGGACTCAACTGTTTATTTCAGAGCTCAACCAAAACTGGTGTCATTGTGTCGTGTGTGGGGTTCGCGCGTGTGTATTTATTTCTCAGATTCGTGATTCATAGATCAGCTAACATCGAGTCCTAGGTGTGAGGATAATCCAAGATAAATATCCTTGTGAATGAGGATTCGCGCGGTTGGCGACATGCTGCGGAAAAGGGGAACCCTGTGTAGGAGGTGGAGCGATCGGATGAAGGGGTTGAATAAACACGATTCACAAAAGCTGCGTCTGCAAAGTTTTGGAGCAGATGGGAACCACGAAATCGGAATTCACCATTTCGAATGTGTAACCCACATTTTCTGGCCTTTTAGGTAAAGAATGACGCGAATATGCTCTCGGGAGCTCTTTGAGGTGTGTTTCGGCTGAATAGCCATCACTTTCACTGGTCGCAAATCTGCCCCATTTTCGCCGAAGTCGCTTAATTTTACATCTCCAATGAAATCTGCGATTATTAATAATGACAACATTGAATTGAATAGGTGTACTGGCTAAGCGCTGGCTATTTAAAAGTGCAGTTACACCGATTCCTTACGTTTTGGCTTGATCACCGCTCTTAACTTTAGGCTCCTTGGTCAGCGCTAATCAAACATACTCCAACATAAACGAAAACTGTCTAAAAGTGCGAATGAATTTGTGTGTGTGCACTTTCTTGCACCGTCTTTTTGGCTTGTGCTTTTCACGTAGTTCCCCTTATTTCTCTTTTTAGGTCTGTTTGGCCAACTGACATGGCTTTCCTTGTAATCATGCTTTACGACGCGAAATTTTATTGCCTTTGAAGTGAATTTTCACTCTGTCAAACTTATCTGAATTATGATTCGCCAGATTATCGTTCTGGGTTTCTGTGATGGTGGGTTTGCAAATTTTCTGGGGAGAAATATGGGCTTAAGTCAGAAATACCTCACATCCACTGGATCTGTTTAGTAATGTCCCGATTACACAACGACGCTTGCCGCATTATGCTGCCATTACCGGCATAATGTGTCCAAATTCATGACGGTATTATGCAGTGAATTTCTTTGTCGTGCTGAGTAGGCCTGGGTGTTTCATTGTGTAAATACCCAATTTGAATTGTTGGATCAAAGGTCAATTGTTCAGTAGGTGAGCTAAGTCAACGACCAGAGTGGAATATGAATGACTTTATTGTGTCCGTGGTTGCCGCTCTCGCATCACTATCACCAATGCGACGGTTCTGTCTGCGACCCATCGTGTCAGGGTTTTCGCACATGACACGTCTCGTTTTCCAGAAGAAAAGAATACTCGCCTTTTTTTTTCTAAGTGACAGCACGTGCAAGTACTTGACTAAACCCCGTCGTAGCAATCTGGAAAGGCCCATAGTAGTTGGTGTGCACTACCAGACAATTCAATTTACCAAGTGGATATTTGAACAAACTGAATGTCAAAATGGCTCACTTCGAAAGTGGAATCTGACACTGTGCTTGTGTTGGGTGTGGCTGCTCTTGCTTTAATTAGACCGTTTTACTGCTGGGGCAACACCATAGATTTTACTGTATTTGATCAATTAGGCTGACAATCTCTGTGGCAAGATAGTGCAAGTCCAGCAGCAGTGTTTCGAGACGACGCCATGTTACGGTGACTGTGATTCATTTTTTTGCCAATGATGATCCAAAGGCCTTGTCAACGGGGAATTTGCGCGACCGGTCCCTAAATGGTGAAGGCGTTGGGGCGGCTTTATGATGGGTGAGCCTAACCTCGTCGGCAGTTGATCCGTGTTCTGCGTTCCAGGGAGGTCTGAATGTGAGCTTCTTAATAAATATCACTCTTACTAAACCTGTTGAAAATATGATGTGATTTGGTTCAAGACGCAACCCCACTGGCAAGCAGCGAACGACCCTTCCAACGGAATATAAACTTTTTTTCAAACGAGGCTTTCCCACGTTGGTTTGGTCTGGTAGCATCCTCCCGCAGTTGCAAAATCAAGATCTGAAATTACGCTTGACACCGAATCGACTGAAACACATTAGAGGACAAATGCAGGGGGAATATATCGAAGACCAAGTTCTAAAGTCCATAAGTGGCCTCGTCACCTATAAATCTTAATCGAAACAGTTGCAGTATGAGCACGCATCACATCACGGTGGCGAATGAGGGCAAGGAACTCCAAACCGAAAACACCGCGTTCTGACTAAATTAGTCAGAAAATTTGATAATTCTAGTAGCTAGTACTAAGACACCATCGAGGGCTTGGAGTAACCTGTAGTAGTTTGTGTGTTGACACTACCTTACAACCCTCTGGTCAACAGCCCGTAACAACCCAAGAATGAACTGAAGAGAGGCGACGGAGGACACGAACGTTTATCAGCGTCACGCCAGCCAAGTGTGTGTCTTGGCGTGTGGATGGGTGAACGGGGGACAGGCATTTGATAACAGTAACCAATGGAGAGGAGATGAGTCATTGTCACCGTCAGGTCAGTAACTAGGGTTCACTCAGGCGCGATCACTGTTAACCCGCTACAAACAAACTGCTCTGCTGCCACCACGTTAATGGAAGAGACCATTTTGCGTTTCTAGTTTATCAGCCGTGGATTCTGGAACCTCTCCGTCGATGCAAGGTGAGAATTGGGAACTCATTAATAGCATTCATTTGCAAGGCGTGAAGTCTAACCATATAACCGTCAGGCTAAGTAATTAAGATGAATCCGCTTTAACAAATACCTCTAGTGAAATTGACCCAGTTTTTTTCCATTTAATTACTCAAACTACAAGCTTATTGGGTGAAATTTGCCTGTTTGTCCAATTTAAGCTCTTTCTAAATCAGTTTTATGGGCGGTTGCCTTTTCAGCCCCAGAGAACGTTGACCTGCTCTCAGTACTGAACTAATGGGCCTAATAAGGCAACAATATCCGACTTATAATAATGACATCGAACCATTGCCTTGTAATATTTCTAGACTGCAGAATTATAATTACAAGAGGGAATTGCGAGGTCGCGACGTAATCTTGACAAATAAAAGAGGTAAGTCAAAGGTGAAGAGAGACTAATGCGCAATGTCAACTGTCGACTGAGGGCCACTGTTCCCCGATCTATCCGTACATGCGGGTGTGAAGAAATGAACTACAAATCTAGCTTCGAGAACGATTCAAACTAGAGCTGTTGGCAGTCATTTTAACTGGCGAAAAGCGCCAGGGAGCACCTCCCTCGCACAAACCTTGGTGACAGGACTAGCCAATGAGATTTGCGTTGAGCAAGCCTTAGAATGTTCATTTGTGTACGTCGCAGTGCATGAATTGCATGCACGGCTTTATTAGCGACGTCAGCATTACGAACGCCACTAATACCGAATCAATGTACTATGCGGGTAGACAAGTAAGCCATCGAGGATTTACCATTTTAACACTTTTTTTCGCCTCCAAATATCACCATTTTTTAATGCTGCCATATCGGTTGACTTTACTCACTTCTGCCCTTCTGTCATCCTTTGTTATTTTAAACCAATAATTTTCATTTACTTAATCTTACCAAAAATATGTAGCATTGTAAGTA